TTCGATTATCACTGTTAACCACTTAGACAATATGCCTATAGGATTTAACAATAATTCTGGACTTGTGATTTACTGTTGAGATGCCCAGATATTGTACTGAATTAAAATCAATAGGCAAATATACGTAGGCCCTAACACTCGCATGAAGAAATGTCTCTGCATACTACTGCTCGCTTGTTCATCACATAGATATCCTGCCTATAGGACTCTAAGATTAATAAAGCCTGCTAAATCAGTTGCGTGCATTTGTTGTTTACATGCGGAGGTTAACGTGAGCCCATACATGTCTTTATTTGAAAGTCCTAATTGTTTTGTTTGTCGCTTAGTATTTTACAATTTTGAGAACCTTATGCCTAGTCTAGAACTTTCCTAAATAGAGGTCCCAATGCCTCCATGACCTTAGGTAAGGGACGGGTAGTGCACGCATAGGACATGAGTTAGAATCAACTCAAGCGCTTTAGGTAAAACTCAAAGATAGTAATCCGGTAGCAGGAGATGATAGTTTGTGACCGCTGGATAATATGAGTAACACCCCCGTCTTGGGGGAGTTACGAAGTATTATTTATGTTGCGTGGGATGATCCTATAGGCTAAAAACTTTAGGACCCCCATCCTTATTAATAGTTTATTCGCTTCTTCAGACTAATTCGCATAATTTAAGTTCGGCCGAGACCCACCGTTGTGGACCTCGAGGGGTGCCTAACAACTTCCTCTTAAGGTAATTTGAGCCCTTACCCGATTTCTGGTGATGCAAGCTGGTATAATCTGAGTTATTTGTTATAGGTGCCCTAACGCACCTTAATTCGTTAGGTGGCGACTATAACAACCAATTCCTTTTTGCTACTTTCTCAAAAGGAGTTGTCAAAATGTCTAAACCCGATTTCGCGAGAAAAGGGGGGGCGCGACAATATANCAAATTTTCAATTCTTTTCCTTTTCCACGGTTTTTCAAACCCAATTTCTCTTTTTTTTTACTAATTACTAAGATCTCTATTTCTTATTGAGACAATGCAGACGAAATTCGAAATATTGCTCTAGAATTAAGTTGTGGGTAAGTTTTAAATCTTGTTTTCTTTCTTTCTAAAATTTTTATTATATGTGACTTGTATATGATACATCAATACCCAAAATAGTACTCGATATAATACTAATACAATTATATTAAATATTTAGGGTAGAGTTGTGATTGAAACTTGAAAAAGATGAAGATCAAAAGTGTATCATAATTTTTCAGAATGTATCGTGATTGTATTATAATTGTATATGTATCATAATTGTTGCAGGAATTGTACTACAAATGTATGATAATTGTATATTTATTGTATATTCTTACGAGAGTTGTGAGTTCGTGACGAATTTCATAGTTTGTATCACAAGTATGATAATTGTATATTAATTTATTAGTATTGTATCATGTATTATTTTGGGTATTAATGTACCAGATACTTAGATACAATTATGATACAAGTATAATACAATTATGTTTTAGGTATTGATGTATCTGATACAATTCAAATACAATTATGATACAATTATCATACAATTATGACACAATTTGTAAATATTTTTTAATAATATAAAGTTGTTGGCAATGGTAGGAAGAGAGAAGATGAAGATCCTCGACGTAGATTAAGGTATTTTGATATATAAAAAAAGGAGAGAGAAGAGGAGAAGGGAAAAAAAGAGAGGAAATGATGTAACTGAATCCCTTAATTAAAGGCACTAATAATGGGGTGGGAGCCTTTTAAGGAGCAATGTATACAATTTATACAAAAAATCTAGATACTTATTAAAAACTACAAAATATAGAGAATATAAGTAAATAAGTTTCTAATATAGTATAGCTAGGTAAAAATCACAATGGACAATATCGTCCCTGTTATTGGTAAAAATTACACGGGGCGCCCTATTTGGTCGCCCCCATTTAATCTATATCCATATATTTAAAATTCTTTAACTTATACCATAATTTTGACAACTTCAGATGCCTTCTCTTCTTCCTCGTGACCTATGCACTCTTTTCTTCCTCATCTTCTTTTCTCTCTCAAACACATTTACATGGAACATAAGCATTCTAAAGATGATTTCTCTTAGTACAGCAAAATGCATTTCTAATGGCGCCCATGAAGCTAAAGCTTGTTCAAGTTCAATTCGAATCTATTTTTGCTTTTATATTTCCTTGTCTAAATGTCTGCAAATCACTGAGGCTATTCGAGCAGAGTGGAAGATGGATCAAAGCACTGTTAGAAGAAGCTGAAAATGAGAGGATGCATCTCATGACTTTCATGTAAGTAGCCAAGCCTAATTGGTACGTCCCTGCTATTGCCATTGAAAATCTATACTGAGTTCCTCAAGGAATTGGACAAGGGTAATATTGAGAACGTCCCTACTCCTGCTATTGCCATTGATTACAAGGCTTAAGTTATATTTTAAAGCCATCTAATTTTAAAGAAAGACAGAACAGAACTTCAACTCTAAGAATACTGAAGTTCAACAAATATAAACAAAAACTTCAGCTACTAGAATGTTGAAGTTCAGCAAATATAAACAAAAATTCCAGCTCATAGAATACTGAAGTTCAACAAATACAAAACAAAACTTCAGCTCCTAGAATGCTAAAGTTCAACAATTACAAAACAAAAACTTCAGCCAAAATATGTTGTAGTTTTATTGAACTGAAGTTTGTCATTGCACTATGAACTGAAGTTTGTGTGATTGCCTTTGCAAGTCAGGCCAAACTTCAGGCAAAAATATCTGAAGTTTTGCTTTGATGAGGCTACACTTCAGGCAAAAAAATTATGAAGTTCAAACTTCAGACATAAATTTTTGCTACTTCAGGCCCGTATATTTGAAATTACCCGAAAAAGTACGTACCCTTGTAATTTTTTATGCAAAACGGGTATAAGTTAAAAGGTGACCCAAAAACTCGATATATATCCCCTGTTATTGGGCGTTTATCTCTTACTCACTAGTGGAATGGGCTAATGAATTGAGAATTGAGCCTATGGCAATTTGGTCACTGGGTTTCCATTCTTACAAGAGAAATACTCTTGGGCTTCTAAAAGGAAACTCAGGATTAATGGGTTACTTAACCGGGCCGAGTTTGGAGCAAGACTAAGCTGTTCGGGTATCTGGCATTTGACAAAGCTGACGTGGCACTATCTATCAGTACATCTCCTAAAATCTCAACGAGGCAATTTAATTTAGAGAACATAAGGTTAAGCACACTATATTATGATTTAATATCGGATGCAATAAATTAAACACTCATACCCCTTATATTATAGAAATCCTACACTTAAACCCCTATAAGGTATATCTATAGCTAAATATATTAATTTTTTTAATTAAAATTAGTTTTAAACAAACGAAAGTCTATTTTTTAGTTTGTTAATCTATCCTTCGGCGTCAAAATTGTCTTAAAATTACTTAATTCGATGAAGTTTATTTGTTGTAGGATTTCAATTCTATAATAAGTTTAAATATTTTAAAATAGGGATACCATTATATTTAAGTGTTTTGAGAGTTCTTTGATTTTTTTTTTTGCCAAATAGTAAAAGTTAGGGACAGACACGTATAAATTCTAATCCATATTCATCCAACACCAAGTATTCCAAGATTCATTCAATGTAACTATAATTATAGTATGTTGCAAACAGGTCGGCGAAACCTAATTCATAAGTTTCAAATCTTAACTCCAACGTAATTCTCCACGCTTATGATTATGTGGCTTCGCCGCCAATGGTCTATATAACATTTTATTCACTATAAAAATTAAATTTTTTTCGAAACCGATTATTGTATTATGTTATAATATAATGTGTCAATAACATCACTTCAACGTAACAGCTAAAAAATATCAAAACAAACAAGACTGTTATATTCGTGACTGTACTCTCTACAAGTAATATTGGTGCACATAGTAGGTGAATTTCCCCCATTTAAGGTGATCTTTTTTATTCGATAAGAAACATTCATGTATATGTGCTAGACTAGACATAACAATATCGATATGACAAGAGCAACAACACACTTGCCAATATGTGACAAAAGTTATCTCACGCCAGTTTCTTAGTATCAATTTATCTTCTTGTCTCCACGTGATCAAGTTGAACTAGAAACACAACTCCTGTGATATCTAGAAACGCAAGGCTATGCTATTATATATTGGTCAATAAATTTCTCACCGCCAGATAATCCAATAAACAGCACCACCACCTTACACTTTTGCTTGCAGCTGTTTTGTAAATCTGCTGGTTTTCCAGTTTGTGAAAAAGTATATCGAAAGCAAGCAACAAATAACAATACACTATTCTTTCTGACTTACGTACTAAAGGATATTGAAATTTATGACATCCAAAACCATGGATGTATCTAGCTATTGATCTGTAGCCAGCATTGGCGATGACTTTCAAATCTTTCGTAAGCATAGGATTTACGCATATAACGTAAAATCGTAAATCAAAGCTTACTAACTACTAAGTATCTCTTTTTCCATTTTTGCCGGAACACATTTCTTTTTCAACTTTTCTTATTAGAGAACCTGCAAACCTTCTTTGTTTTGTTTAATCATTTAGTATTCAGGATTCATTAGGCTGGCTAATTTAGATTCGAGCCAAAACCTTTGAACCTAAAAATAAGAGAAATCAAAATGGTAGGTTCTTCCTTTATTTTTTTTTCAAAAATTTAATTAACTTCCGTACACCAAATAACATGATAAATCATTGTTACAATATCTAGTAATTTAGAGATAATTACATGTAATTATTCATAATAATTAAGTAGAGCTATATATATACCTAGAAAAANTGATTCTTTTCATTTTCCTCCGCGTGTGTGTGTTTTTTGTTTTCTTTTTTGGTGGGGCACGGGCGTGTGGCTGGATTACTGGGGCATGTTGTTCGTTTTTAAAAATACTGTGGGCAAAGGACAAACCAAAGAGCTCCATCAGAGTATAATATAAATTGATCTTGATATATAAGACAGCTTAGAGGCATTTGCTAATAAGGTGGTGGAGAAAATGGTGAGAAAAATGAAAATGAAAATGAAAATATATAGTCCACAACATTTAGCAACATCATCGTATCGATTACTTTGGTAACTCTAATCAAGAATGAATGCAAGAGATGCAGTGGCTTTACAACAGTTGTGTACTCCATATTATGCATGGTATGCTTGCATGGAATTAACATGATTTTCGTAACTTTTTTGGATTCATTACATTACAACTTCCCAACAGTATTCTTTTCTTCCTTCTTATCTTTGACTCTTTCCTTTTCCTCTGAGGTTGTAGACTTGTAGTATATGTGAATGCCTTCGAATTAGATATAAACTAGTACATTCTTATTTCATGTTTTTATAAGCCGGTCATTTTTGGAGACATTAATATTATATCATTGGATCTGACACTACAAAAAATTAGAATTAGTTACGAACTTCGTCGCTAAATTATTCGTTCTTAATAGAATTTCTTGATAATTTATCAATAATTCATTGTTAAATCGGATTAGCAACGGATTTTTTTGTCTAGCTACAGAATTTATGATCCGTCGCTAATTTTTACTTTTTTTAGTGTAAAATCTGCAGCCAAAGCTTAAGCAGAGCATGCATAGGCAGTTTTGTATGTTAAAACTTGGCATGAAAAGCTAATCTTATACTATAGTTTTTGAGTTTTCAAGTATAATTTTGGAACCATTCTGTCATTTAGGTTAATACAATTATCATGTATAAACTCGTAAGATATACAATATTTTCTTGGATGTAATTTCTTTGTATAGTTTCTATCAATTTTACTATTAAGTTTCTTTGAGTACTTTTGCTATTCTTTTTTATGTATATTCCTTTCTTTGTGATTTATGATTTTCTTGATAATCCATAATTAAGCGCATGTTTATTCTTTTACATTGATAAATGCAATTCTTTTCCAAATACATAGCTTTAATCATGACTTTCTAATTTCTATTTATGTGTTTGAGTTGTTTGTTGTTAGGTCGAAGCAATTCTTAGAAAGTGAATTCAATATTTAACTTTTTCCATCACATGAAATTTTGTAATGCCTCTCTTGGTTTCTTGATTTAATAATTTTGAAATAAACAGATTCTTAATACTAGATGATACTTTTTTTTAGATGGTTGTCTTGCTTTAGGAAGATACTGATCTTGCTTTAACAAGAATTTTTTTTCTTTTATGCGGGAAATAAGATTGAACTCATGAGTTATTTTACATCTTTAAAATTTTTAGTAAGTAAATAAATCAAAGAGCGTATAAAACCAAAAATACAAAATGTGAATATCTTGGGAAAGTCACCGACCCCCTCGACTAGGGGGTTGGTTAGCCAATGGGAGGGTAGAAAAAGATTTTTTCAATTAAAAACATAGAATACTGCTTTCTCCAAAACAATTTACTTTGTGCCTCACACAACTTGTACTAGTTGTGTGAGACCTCTTTTTTCGTCTCATAATTTTGTGGACCCAAAATTATAAAATATAGGTTCACAAATTTGTAAGATAAAAAGAGATTTCACACAAATAGTGTGAGACCTCTTTTTTTGTCTCATAATTTTGTGGACCCAAAATTATAAAATATAGGTTCACAAATTTGTAAGATAAAAAGAGATTTCACACAAATAGTGTGAGACCTCTTTTTTTGTCTCATAATTTTGTGGACCCAAAATTATAAAATATAGGTTCACAAATTTGTAAGATAAAAAGAGGTTTCACACAACTAATATCAGTTGCGTAAGGCAAACCATAAAACTTTTCTCCATAATTGGAAGATAATTTTGAAAGCCCTTATTTTATACTTAGCTATGCATATAATTTCAATTTTTTCTTTTAAGGTTAATAAACTTATAATTGTAATTTTATTATTGGGATATTAGCACTTTTAGCCCCTGATGAATTGATAAATTATTATTTTAGTCCTCATGATATTTGGTTAAGCGCATTAGCCTTCAATTACTTAAAATGTACACTTATATTCTGTATTTGAGAATAATAATAGAGATTTATAAATAATCTAAAATATGACGTACTTCCTTTGTAAAGGAAACCAAGATACACTTCTTGATTTATTAAAGATTAAGTATGCTTATTGAAATATCATTGTATAGGCAAAAAAATTATCCTAGTTATATTTGGGCCACATCAGACTAAAGGAGCCTTCGAAGGCTGCCTATGTCATCAGTATGATTTCAACGAAAGATAGATTTAAGGTCGAAATGATCTGACGAAAGATAAGGGCTAGGTCGAGGAGTCAACAGAGGTCGAGGTTGAGGACGAGTACCCTCCTTAATGGAGCAGTAACGACTAGTTTTGGGGATCTGACTTTAAAGAGAATATTCCTAAAATCTGTACTATTAGAGTTTTGTGGCACATGTCCTCTTATAAATAGGAAGAGACATAGTTATAGAGGGCATTGGACACTCATTTGTAAAAGAACAATACTTTGACATTCTCTAAAGATTCTTGTTTTATTATATACATATAAAAGACACCTTTTCTTGAGATTCTGATATAACTTTTCTCCCACGATCCAAGAAAAATTCGAATATTCAAAGGCACATCAATCATTTATCATCGTCATAGGGAATACCACACGATTTCATCCCTTTCGGGCATCTCTCTTGCATTTATTTACAATAATTCCATTATATACCATTATTGCTATTTAATGCTATTCACTTTGTATTTGAGCCATTAAATATTGTTTATTGTTACATATTCACTGCTGTTCCTACTTCTATATGACATTTTGTCATGGTACTAGTTAAATAATCTTTTGGATATTAATATTGGCTAAAATTAACCTTATTTCATTAAAAAATCGTATTGTTTAAACCTAGATCTAAATTTTGGGTCAAACAATCATAAAAATCAAAATCAGAAGTTATCAATAATTGAGAGCTCAAGAGTGCAATATCCATTTATTCTATATGATTTATACTGTACTTGGTAAAGAACCAATAAATTGTATCTTTAGAGCTAATTCTTTTTTAATTAGCTAATGAAATGAATCATAAATACAATTTTTGGTGTTTTCTACTCTGTCACAGGAGTCATTTGGTTATGAATTATGAAAGCATAAGAAGATTTTGGATCAAGTGCCAAAATGTCGACCGTTTCCAACACTCTAGAAGAAGAGCTTGTGCACAAATCTATGGAGTTCATATATTGCTATAAAAAGGATGCAGAAGCTATGATTTTACGTTTGTGGATAATAACTAATAAGAGCAAAAATATCCTCAAATTTTTGTGAAAGATATTTTCTAAATGTTGAAACTTGAAACGTATTAACAAGAGATGGTTGCTAAGTATGATAAGCACCCTTTACCTCTAATTTTAAAAGATTGTGGGTTCAGATCACCAACCGAGTAAAATTAAAAGCTCATGGGAAAGGGTAAAGAAAAACTTGAAGGAAAGGGATGCAGTGGGTTTTTTCTAATATGGAACAAGGAAAAATAACATTATACAACCGCTCTCAAAATAATAGTCGAAAAATATATAATTTTTTTGTATATACATACATTTGTATGATATATATAAAATTTTACAATTTTTATATACTTTTTCAGCTATCGAATATAAATAGTTTCTACCTCGAGTTAAAAATTGAAAAAAGCCCTGAAAAAAAAAAGCTAGTATAAAATTGTGGGCCGCAAGATAGAGACACGTGTCAAACTACTCGACCAAAGTGAAAACTTTTACTTTAGACCCGCGTCGCATGGAATTAATCCACCTGTTCTCCCATTTTACGAAGCCCCTTCGGTTGAGAATCAGAAAAAAAAGATAGTAGAAAGAAGGCGCCAATGGAGAAGATCAGAGATGTAAAACGACAGAGAGAAGTAACTCGCTAATTTATTAAATCAATTTTTCACTTTGCTTCGTAAGTGTTTTTTCCCGCGCTTTTCCCCCTTAGAATCAGTTGAAATTTTCTCTATTTTTTCCTCTAATTAAATCTACACTAATGATACTTAGATTACTGTATATCTGGAATTTTAATTGTTGCTATTCATATAGAATGAGATTACATGGAAATCAAACAAAAAATCACTGTTCATAATTGAAATGGAGCAATTCAACTGCAAATTCAAGCTCCTAGTGGTTTAATTACTAAGTTAATAATATGATCGGTGAGCATACACTTGTAAAATTAGGTTTAACAATGTTAACTTGCATCATAAGCTAAGTTCTGAACTATGGGATCAATACCTAAGAAATTAGAAATTAAATCAACGAGGAAGAAGACTACTTAATTTACTCACTTATGATTAATACGCTTCTGAATATGTGATGGTTTAGCTTTCTAGAGTTATCCCGTTATTCTCTTTGCAAAATCGGTAACACGATAGTTGAGATTATACTATGATGTTCACAAAATTATCCAGGGGGGCATCTGATTGTCCCAAAATGGAGGGAAATCAGATTTTTCTCTGTACCTTTCTGAATAGATAAACAGAAAATATGCCATTTTCTAAACCAATTTGTCAGAGAGATAGAGGGAGATATATATATATACACACACACATATATATATATAGAGAGAGAGATGAACTTTTCATCTCGATGTATGGCCTTACTATCCTGGATTTATGGTTCTTTTATCTGATAGATTGAAGAAAATATTGTTGTCAAGTACTATTTAGCACTTTTACTTAGTTTCTAAGGAGATAACCTTTCACTTTATTTAGTACATGAAGTATCAGCTTGAATTAGGACTAATGATGACTAAATTGTTTGAAGGGGAGCCTTGGAGCAACAGTAAAGTTGTCTCCATGTGACCTATAATATAGGTCACTAGTTCGAGCCGTGGATCTACTAATGCTTGCATTAGATTAGGCTGTCTATTGGGGATGCGGCCCTTCTCCGGACCCTGCGTGAATGCGGGATGCCTTGTGCACCAAGCTGCCCTTTGCACCAAGCTGCCCTTCTCTTTTTTGATGATTAAATCGTTTATGCCATTTGGTGTTCTAAGGAATTATTCGTAAGTAAAACCAAAAGAATTAAGATAAAGAAATTGCAGGCATATAGAGTAGCATTAACGATGGATTCTGATATTTTCCTTTTATGATGTGAAAATATAGCGACTAATCAACTTGATTAGCAAAGGTGATATCATTTATTCCGTTAAGTGCAGTAAGGAACTATTTATACGTAAAAAGAAGCGATTTGGTTTAAGAAACTGTAGATGTATTTGTCATAATGTCAATTAGTTGAAAGGAGTTTTGAAATGATAAGTAGATTGTGATATACAGCTTGGACCTATGAAATTTAGTGAGATCACGCTGATAAACAGTTTTATATGGTTAAAGACTCGTCAATTGACATGCCAGACTTATGGAACTTGATCTTGAAGTCACACTTCCTTCTTAGCTTACAAGGGAATAAAAAGAAATTAAGAAAGAGATAATTTTACTAAAGTTGCTATTATGCTGGCTAATTTGTGGGTTTCATTTGCAGAACAACTATTGTTGAAAGGTGATGGTAGCTGTATATGGTTGCGATGGTAAATCACGCTAATATTCTTTGCAGGTGTAGTTAGTGTAAGATCTTAACTAATTCTCCTTGTCAATTTACTCTCAAGATCTACCTTGTTTGGGAGTTTGTGCTTTCAACAAGCACATGTACCAGAGATCAATGTGGCTTGATTGCTGAAATGTTGTTGCTCTACATTAGCCTCAAACTGGATACCAATACAACTTTAATGTCTTAAATGTGGTGAATGTATACAAAATTTCTGCAAATTGAAATATAATTTTTTTGTTTCCAGTTTGTAACATCTATCTGCTGAAGTTTGTGGTGTTAGCCAACCGAGGTAAAGCATATGCGCAATGAAGATCCTGATGGTGCATTTGTACTTTGTTAACAAATTATGGGTTCTCAAATCATACATGACCTCTATGAGAATCCTACTTAAAAATAAATAGACTGGTAAACTTTGTCCCATAATTTATTTGTCACAGTGAGGTCTCTTACATGAAGATTGAAGAGCCCCTCACCATTGATATTAGATTGACTCATAAGAAAAATAGGTACTGATAATTTGATTGTGCATTTAAACAAGTACAAACACACAGGTTGGCAGCATGGAGTTTGAGTGTGAAGAAGAGATTTCACATATGCTCTCTCAGGGACCATAACCATCATGAGTTTATTTTTAGTTTGTCTATGTACTTTCCTTCGATGATATTTTTTTGAGAAATGAAGTCAAGGAAATCACTGAAGCTTCCTTCTTTGTAGGACAAGATATGTTGTTCGTTGACAAGGTCTGGTGCAGGTCTAACTGTTTTACCTAAAGCTAGACTATGAAGGCTGGCAATTGAAATGCGCTTTTTTTCTGAGTTAACTGCTGCTCGGTGGAGAACACTTTTGTATCTGCCATTGCTCAATACTTCCATGTGATCTCCCAGCTGAACAACGAGAGCTCCTTCAATGACTGGAACTGCATGCCACTTTTCATCTCGGTCCATGATTTGTAAGCCCTGGTAATTTTGAAGAATGATGGATAGCATACCATAATCTGTGTGTGGTGGCAATCCTAGTGTAAGATCTGGCTCAGGACATGCTGGATAGCAATTAACGGCCATGACCTGAGAGCCTTCTGCAATGTCTTCATGTAAGTAACTAGGGTTTAGTCCTAAGCTCTCAAATATCACTTCCATGAGTTCTTCTTGCAACTTTTGTGCTGCCTTTGTGTAATTTCCCATTTTCTCCCTGCATGATAAACTGCTTTAGGCACTTGAAAAAATTATATTGTTCTTGAACAGTAAGAATATGCATCTATAAGACAGCAAAAGCATATTGCAAGGAAAATGAGAGACTTACTTGTAACATGTGGGATTTGATGGCCACAAGTCAATCCAAGTTGAGATTGGATTAGCGTAGTGCTTGAGGAAGTCTCTCCAAAAGTGTACTTTGTCTTTGACATGATTTAGACTAGTACCATATCTTATGGGTTCATGAACATTTGAAGACAAGAGATGCTTTTTCTCTTCAGTTGGTAAATCGAAGAATTCGCTTGCAGCATCTATGGCATCTTTCATGACTGACAGTGGGATTCCATGGTTAACTACCTGCAAAGTCATTTATCACATGCATGTTGTTATTTTACGTTCAGGTTGAAAGTATTTTCTTCCTGTTAGACAACCTAAGTAGCTGAATTCTTGGACATTTGTTTTAACAAATTTGAAAATAAAGGGAAGAGAGAAGACAGAGGAGATGAAGCCTAGAACCCTACCCTGTGTGTGACATGAAGTTATTTCTGCTTCTTGATTTCCAAATGCTTTTTCTATATGCGGATGATCTGACATCATTTTACTTGGTGTGTGCATAATATTCAATGGATCCTATCTTGAGGAACTTTATGTATACTGAAGTAAATAAATAGGCAAGACAATCTTATTCTAGTGCGTGATTGCAGGTGACATGGATGTAACACGACAAGTAGGGTACCTGGAAGAAACCTAGTTCCTTGCAAGCCAGGTGTACTTCCTGGATTATCTGAGGCCGAAGAAGAGGGTGTCGCAGAAAGGAGAGATCTACAACGGGCAAGCATGTGTCACACAGGGTACGCTCGGGGCGTAAGGATGGGGGAAGAATGTAACGCTTGGGAACATAGGTTAGCCCCTCTTCATTTAGTGTCATGGCAGTAGTAAAGGAACCATTTGGTGAAGCTGAGCTATCTCTCATTTTTCCCACCATATTGTGCTCTTTCTCCCTTTATGTTATGGCTTATCTCCCTATTTATAAGCAACAAATGTGAAGATAAGATTGGAGTTTTTGATTATTTTTCCAGTTATATATGTAATGAATATACGTATAATGTGACGGTACCATGAGTATAACCAATGGAGAAATAGAGAATACTCATACATGAAGAGCCACAAAATGAAACATTATAAGCTTGTAGTAACTCCAATGTGAAGGTAATTGTCGGTTCCAATAGTTGAATCCGATAGAGTAACAGTGTTCAGATTCAAGTGGGAGTGAGCCCACGCGCCATGAGGGAGAATGGTGAGCTAATTTTACACATGCAGTACGTAGGCGCTCTGGGATTTTCGAACGTTATATTTCCTGTTTTCCTCTTAGTATCCTATCAGGTGCATTTTTCCTACCCATGGGGGTGACGAGAACAGAGTAATTTACTGAGGCGGCAAGCCTCATGTTTCTTATTTCTTTTTTTTTTTCTTCAATCGAAAACTCAAATGAAATAAGAAATTGACATGTGTCTGGTTTGGTTGGGTTTGATTTTTATTTTTTTAAAATTTTGGACTTGATTTTAGTTTGAATAAGAAAAATTTCAGTGTGCTGTATTTTAAATATATCTTTTCTCATAGACAATCCACAAATACTATGTGATTTTTTCGTTAAAATTTTACTCCGTATATATTCATGATCCTTACTTGTAATGTAATCTTTAATATGATTATTCTGATGAATGATCCATTTTGCTTATTTAAATACTTAATCCAATGAATGACACTTTTTTTATTGAGAGTTATTTAAATCCTTCGATCTACTTTTTCTTTCATTTTCACAATTCAACATTTATTAAGCTCATATATATTTTTTACTTTGATATATTGTATGTTGACGGTTCTTAAAATTAAACTTAGCATATTATTATTTAGGTTTCATATTGAGTTTCATGTCCTATATTGAGAATTTTTAGGCTTTGGCAGGAATTGCAGAGAAAATTCCTCACATAATAATAATTTAATAGGTATAAGTTTGTCCATTTGTTTAATTCTTGCCAAGAATATATTGACTAATAGAGTTGTTTATCCATTATTTCTACTTATATTAATCGAAGCTCCTCTTCGTCGTCGTGTATGATTGCTGAAATAAGAAAGTAACTTGAGGGTAGTTTTGTTATTCGTTCAGCTAATTTGACACTTAATTCTGATATGGACGCAACGTGGCCTTCATGTACTATTGAGCAATTTCATTGGCTAAAGTTAAAGCTTTTTAGTAAAAGCTTTATCTGCTTGACGATTTTACCCTTTACTATTTCAGAAGCCACAACCCAAGGATATCTTGCGTTTTGTAATGTGGGACCAAGGATATTGGTTCAAAAAGAAGTTTACTGTTTAAAAGTTTAAAACACAATAATTATATTGGCGTATACGGTTAAAATCGGGTTTGTCCTTTCTTGTATGACTAATGGAGACTGCAACGTGGCAGACCAAGGTTCGACCCCATGTTATATCGGACCGTGATGTAAAGTAGATTGCAGAGCTTGTGACTCAGAGATCGATCGAGATCGAAATCGGCCAAGACCGAGACCAAGCAGGATAGAGATCAAGCAAGATCGAGGGAAGCTTACCGAGCCAAATAACCGAAAGCCAAAATATCCGCAATCAGATGAGGATCACCGCGGAAATCTCGGCATGTATCAAGAAGAGGCTAATTAATTAGCTAATCATGGGATTTCTTATTGTATTTAGAATTGTATTAAGGTAGGACTCCCCTACTATATAAAGAGGACATGATCATTTGTAAAAGGCATCATATTTACGCAATGCAAAGCAATATACTACCTTTCTCTTAAACTCTCAATACTCTGTTACTTTGTTCATATTTCCGGTGGAATATTCGTTTGGTTCGAGGGCAACCTAGCTCGAGGGCCAAAGTTATACATTTTCTTTGGTTTGCTTTTATTTCTATTTATGGTCAATTTCAATAGCAATTTACGTATTTTCTCAATTTGTACCAAGTAAAATCACGTGTCCTTAAAACCACATATAAGTTCAACTGTTATCCGTTTTCTAGGGTAAGCAGTTTGGCGCCCACCATGGGGCTAAGAATAATAGTGATTGTCTGGTACTAACTTTCGTGACACACACTATTTTATACTTATTCTTGTGAGTATCTTTGATTCCAGGATCAGCATGTCAAACTCTCAAGCAACACCCACACACATAGACAATGGCCTTGGTTTCCATGACGGAAACAACAACATAGCCACCCTAGGGAATGAAGTACCTCCAGCTGACCTCGATGGAGTCCCGTCCGTAGACCCAATCGACGTCAGCTCTCATGTTACCATTAATGCAAATTTGGTCGTCGATCCTGAGAGTAGCGTCCGCAGAGACGTACGATCATCCGGTCAGAACGCACAGGGCGGTGAAGAAGGCGGGATCAGCCTTCGAGTGATATTCAAAATATCGCAGGCTTAACAAGTTGCAATAGCACTACTCCAAAACCAGAACCATGCATCGAGCAGGATCGAGCCCGAGCCATTATAGGAAGTTGTTCGTAGGGCCGAATCAGTGTCAAAGAGATCGAACGGAAATGAATCAGGGACCGATCCCACAATCATGAATATGCTCGAGGAACTAGCAAAGCCAGTTGAATCGGGGTAGAAGAAAATTGAAGCAAATGACAAGAAGATGGAAACCTATAATTCCAGGGTTGATCAAATTCCGGGGTCACCACCGATTTTGAAGGGTTTGGATTCAAAGAAGTTCGTACAAAAACCTTTCCCCCGAGCGCGGCCCCTAAACTAATTCCCAAGAAGTTCCGCATGCCAGAAATTCCCAAGTATAATGGAACGACCATCCCCAACGAGCATGTCACTTCCACATGTACGATTAAGGGGAATAATCTGGAGGACGATGATATCGAGTCTGTATTGTTGAAGAAATTTGGGGAGACCTTGTCGAAGGGAGCGATGATATGGTACCATAACTTTCCACCTAACTCCATTGATTCATTTGCCATGCTTGCAGATTCCTTTGTTAAAGCACACGCCGGAGATATAAAGGTCGAGACAAGGAAGTCGGACCTCTTCAAGGTAAAGCAGAAAGATAACGAGATGCTCAGAGAGTTTGTGTCTCGGTTCCAAATGGAACGTATCGATCTACCACCGGTCGCTGATGATTGGGCCGTTCAGGCCTTCACCCAAGGACTAAACGTATGAAGCTCGGTGGCTTCACAACAACTAAAGCAAAACTTGCGAATACCCAGTTGTTACCTGGGCCAATATGCATAATCGATACCAATCAAAGATTAGGGTCGAAGACAATCAGCTGGCGACTCCTTCTAGGTCTGTTTATCCTATTAGACCAGTCAATAAAGTCAAAAGGGACATCGACCGAGAGCCACGGTCGAACAGGGATCGCTACCGGCCATACAATGGAGATCGAAGAGGCAACGGGCCTGGGCGTAACCCTATTCGAGGTGAAAGGAGAAATGATAGAGGTCAGAACTCTCGGGGGATCATGAGCAAGAATGGTTTTGATAGGGATGTCGGGCCCAAAGAAGCACGTGACTATCAGAATATAACTTCAATATTGATGCATCCACCATCATATCAGCCATTGGACATATCAAAGATACTATATGGCCTCGACCTCTACAGACTGGTCCAGCCCAGAGAAATCCCAACCAAATGTGCAAGTATCATGGCACCCATGGCCATAGAACAGAAGATTGCAAACAGCTAAGAGAGGAAGTTGCCCGGTTGTTCAACGAGGGGAACCTTCGGGAATTCTTAAGCGATCGGGCCAAGAATCACTTCAAAAATAAAGATTCAAACAGGCAGAACGAGAGAAGAGCCACAACACGTGATTTTATGAATGTTGGAGGGGTCGATATTCCTCAAGGACTAGTATTAAAATGCACCAAGGTGTCGATCACAAGGGAGAAACGAACTCGGGATTACGTACCAGAAGGAAACTTGTCTTTTAATGACAAGGATGCAGAAGGGATTGTACAACCCTATAATGACGCACTGGTAATATCTGTACTTATGAATAAGACTCAAGTTAAACATTTCTTAATTGATCCAGGTAGCTCGGCCAACATCATTTGATCGAGGGTCGTAGAATAGTTCGGCCTATAGGATCAGGTTGTGCCCGCGGCCCGAGTGCTAAATGGCTTCAATATGGCATGTGAAACCACCAAAGGCGAGATAACTTTGCTAGTAGACGTGGTTGGGACCGTCCAAGAGATGAAGTTCCATGTGATCAAGGGAGATATGAGGTATAATGCCCTATTTGGGAGGCCGTGGATCCATAATATGATGGCAGTGCCCTCGACCCTTCGCCAGGTTCTAAAGTCCCCGACGCTAGAGGGAGTCAAAATAGTCTATGGGGAGAAACCCACTTCCAAGGAAATATTTGCCGTCAACGAAGTGATATCGATATTGGCACTCTCATCAATGAAGAGGTCAAATTTGAAGGGAAAACATGACGTCAAATAGCAACCACAAACACCGGCCTCGACCCAATCAGAGAAGCAGGGGGATGACGAGGATGATGACTATAGGGTTCCTCGATCCTTCATAGTCCTCAATGATTCCGATGCCACCAAGTCAATGGTCGAAGAGCTGGAACAAATCATACTAACCGAACATCAGCCCGAATGAAAGATATACCTGGGCACGGGGCTAGCCCCCAAGCTTAGGGAAAACTTATTCAATTCCTTAAAACTAACATGGATTGCTTTGCTTAGTCTCATCTCGATATGACAGGGATCCCACCGAAAATCACCACCCATAAACTAAGCCTGGACCTGAAGTTCCATCCGGTGAAGCAAAAAAGAAAACCCCAATCCGAGGTCAAATACGCTTTCATTAAAGACAAGGTAACCAAATTTCTCAAAATAGGGTCTATCCGGAAAGTAAAATATCCCGAATGGTTAGCGAATGTAGTAGTAGTCCCTAAGAAGGGAAACAAGCTTAGAATGTGTGTAGATTATAAAGACCTAAATAAAGCATGCCCCACGGATTCTTTTCCTTTGCCTAATATTGATCGCATGATCGATGCCATGGCCAGCCATGAGATCCTCAG